GATTTATCTATTTTAAACATTCTATTTTAACCATAATTAAAATACTGGGAAATGCTTAAGAATAACTGAGCTAGGCAAAAAAAAAAGGCAAACTGAAGTTAGGTTACAGATTTGCATTATTTTAGGAGCTGAAGTCTGGGGCTGACAACCACCACCAAGGATCATGCTGCCTGCTGGTAAAGAGTACTGTGCGAAGGACCCTTGCTTCATGCACTGATCCAGGAAACCCTACAAAATCATTCAAAAACTTGTCTGATGATCACCTACAGCCTGCAGCTGCACAGATGGCTAGAGCTTCCAGTTTCTGTAACACTGTGCATCAGGTTTTCCTGGAGCTTTAATTCAAACATGGCAGTCATTTATAGTGCCAACTACACATCGGAAACCTGCATGATTCTCCAGCCTCACAAAATCTTGAGAAATGCTTTGTAATTCTTCATTTTTTGAATGCTGGGAAAATCTGCCTCATTTCATTGGCCACCCCATGAATTACATAATGCAGAGTTGGGCATTGAAAATGCACAAGACACAACATGGTAAACACAGCGAACAGCCACTTCATCAAGTACACCTTCCTTTTGTCTACACTCTTTGTCCGTTTTATGGTTCTACAATTACAGACAGTAGTCTGTCTGTTTCTCTGCATACTTTGTTAGCTCCCTTTTACCTTGTTCTTCAATGATCAGGACCCTCACAGGACCACCACAGAACAGGAATTATTTGGGCAGTGAATTATTCTCAGCACTGCAGTGAGACTGATGTGGTGGTGGCATCTTTGTCTGATCCACTTGTGCCAGCGCAACACACACTAACACGCCACCACCACATAAGTGTCACTGCACCACCCAAATAATATTTGCTCTGTGGTGGTCCTGTGGGATTCCTGACCATTTAAGAACAGGGTAAAAGAGGGATAACAAAGTATGGAAACAGATGGGCTACAGTCTGTAATTGTAGAACTACAAAGTGCTCCTATATGACAAGTGGAGCTGATAAAATGGACAATGAGTGTAGATACAAGGAGCTGCGTTTACTGAAGTGGCTGGCCTATGTATATGTATGTGAGAATTTATGCAAATTCATTGTAAATTACTATATTACTTAAATGATTAATAACTAGTACTATTGTAAATAGCTGTATGAATAGTTTGATCGCTACTGAATGACTGTATTTAACTATACGTTTATTTACAAAGTTGTATAGTTGTGTATATCAATGTTCTGTTTGGTTAATGCAAGTTATCCGCAGTTGTGTATAGTGTATGTAGATTTCGATTTGATGTATGTATTAATATGTATGTCCTATTGAAATATTCAAAACAAAACAGTATCTGTTATTATTTATCTAACTGGCAGCTTGGTGACTGATGAACTTCGTTTGATGTAGAGAAAGTGTTTACTGTTGTTTTTCCCCCTCAGAGTGCTTAGAGGAAAGTTTACCTTTGTAAATTTTAACTGTTCAAGAGCATCAAGTAGCCAAAATTTAAGAATTCAAGCCCATTCAAAACCACCAGAGCAGAATCCATGGTGGTAAAATGCTGAGGCGATTCTGACAGCTGAGGTAAGTAAACACCGGTCGTGTGCAGCAGGCGGGAACAAGTGGTGACGTCACTGCTGCTTAACTACAACGTCTCATTTATATAACTTTTAAGGTTAGACGGCGGTTTGAATGCTGCATACCTAGACTGCTGCCTATATAGACAGTGGCTACTAAGAGAGTTCACTAGGTATTGGGAAACAACCCTTATGTTAAGCAGTCCTAGTTTCAGACCAAAGATGCTGTCACTGGAAACTGGTTCAACTGGTCTAATATTGACAAGATTGTTCAAGGATTTCTGACACTTCATTTTATTCAGGGAACAGACACAGTCTCAATTGGGAGGAACCTATGTGGCATCTGAAGTTAGCAAGCAGGCAGTCGGTTTAGCCTGTCTGTCTGCAGCCTCGCCTGGCCCTGGTTTGTCAGCGACTGACCGTCCTACACTGATGGCTATCTGGGACACTACGAGCCCTCAAAAGTAGACCAATTATTTACTAAGCCCACATTGTTTTCTGAGCACCACTTGGACAACCAGTAGTTTAGCGATCTAAACCTGCTATAGAGTTCAGCGTCACGTCGAATGGTGATGGGGTGAGAGCATATTATGGCATCAGACATTGTCTGGGCTAATTTGCACACCTCTTTAATGTTATCTTTAGTTATTGCTGACTGCCATAGATGAACATCATTAGTACCTACATGAATGACTATCCTCGAATATCTACAGCTATCTAGCAGCTTCAGGTTCCCTCTAATGTCCGGAGCCCTAGCTCCCAGTATACAGCTAACTGCTACTGGCGACCCTAAAGCACAAGATATTTACATGTGCCGTAAAACAGAATTACCTATAACCAGTACTCTTTTAACTGGCCTCTCAGAGGGTGTTTCACTGAGTGGGTCAAAACTTTTGGACACGTGAATGGGAGAGGAGTGGTGCTCACATAGGTAGCTTAAGTACTGTGCAAACACGCTGAGAAACTGAGCTACAGCGTCTCTGTACAGCCTACTCTACAAGGCCAAAAATTTACATAATGTTTATACCTCGCAATTCTGTTCAGTCAAACAGAGTTAAGTCATCATATACAAACCATTGGTCCTGCCAGTGTCGACTATTTTCGCCTCTGTTTTGCTAGCCTACATGTCTGCTCTATCCATATTTGGGAAGTGGTGGTGACTGTGTTGGCCAAAAACACACAGCGTATGCCTGGCAGGAATATGCCAAGGCGGAATGTTTAAAGTCCCCAGTGACTTTGTGTTCAACTGCCTTAGTGTCAGTAAAACTTTTTGAGCCGACTCTCATGCACTGACAGCATGAGCCATTTGCTCATTAGCGTGACAGAGTACACTTGACCTATGTCGCATGGCATCAGCTGATAATAGATGTTAGTATTGGCGAAATTTTATGTGGTTGAGTAGGAGTACATGAGCACGGTATCAGGCTGATATCTTTTACCAGAATTGGTATCAAAGCATTGGCTCAGGAAACCGTCGATAAACACAACGTTCGTCACTGCATGCCCATATGCAAGCTTAGACTGTACTGTGCACAGAGGAAGTCAAATGTCAACAACATCAAAAAAAGCTAACTGCTCTGGGCTTGAGCTCATCTGAAATGGATTGTTGCCAGGTGAAAACATCTATTGTGGTCTGACAAATCAACCTTTCAGACTTTTTAAGAAAATACTGGATTGTCTTTGGGCCAAACTGGACTGTCACCAGCCCAAAATTCAAAAGCCAGGGTTCACCGTGGTATGGAGCAAGATATGCTGATGACATCTTTTTCAGGAACATTAATGCTTATTTCAACATGACAATGCCAACCCACATTCTGCACATGTTGCAACAGTGTGTCAATGTAATCAGAGAGTGTGAGTGCTGCAATGGCCTGCCTGCAGTCCAGACCTGTCTTGCATTGAAAAAATTGTGGCACATTATGAAGCGCAAAATACATCAATTAAGGTGCTGTATGGTTTTTGAAGGCTTGTTTTATGAAAGAAAGGCTAAATCAACCTGCTTTCAAAACTGGATCATCAATCCAAAATAATGATTACGTGATGTTAAAGCAAAGGTGATGTAACACAGTGGTAAACATGCTCCTATCACGCTCATGAGGGGCATATATATGTGTGTGTGTGTGTGTGTGTGTATATATATGTATATAAAAAAGTTTATAAGGTACCCCATGAATTATCAAGTTTATGTACTGTTTTCAACTTAATACAAGTTAAGCAGAATTTAATTATCACTACGGTCTGTTTTTACTAGCACATACTGTTCCAACTTTAGGTTTGTACTTATCTAGTGTCTCTGAATGAGAAGACTGATCTAAATTTTGGTTAACAGTTGTGTAAAAAGCATAGACTAATCCCAGATCAGCATTCTTGTTCTGAGATGTTTGATAAATAAGGGACCTGAGTCTGTATTCACAAAGCAACTCAGGAGTAGTAGTTCTGATCTTGGAACAGTTTTGTGACCATAAGAGGAATCTGAACTAATAACAACCCTCTTACTCAGATCAGACTTTTTACTGTGCTACACTTTGTGGATACCATCACTGGATTTCTGTGAAGTTGCTTTAAAACAACTTGTGAATTTCTGTAAATTTATAAAAAAAAAATTACAGTGAAATGATTATTTAAATGTGTGCTGTGGGCTTCTTGACCAATAGTAGATGTTCCAGGTGAATGCTGAGTGAGAGCTTGAATCACGTTCTGTACTATCTGTTCCTAGTACTAATGGTAACATGAAGCGAAAGGTGAAAGAGGATACAGCCCCCCTACTGAAATGTACTACACATTCTTTACACATTCTTTTATCCATCTTTGTAGTTACATGGACTGTAGCTATTTGGTGAATTTGTTGACTGGAAGGTAGCCACACAACGAAAACACTGCGGAGAATACAGTTCTAGAATTCTCCAGTCTGTAGAAAGGAAGCAAACACTGCTCACACATGACTCAATAGCTTTGCACGTCAAAGAATCCTAGGCCACAAGTCGCTAAAAGAGTTTCCGTCAGAATGTACTATTGCTTGTCAAGAGTGCAGAGCCCGAGCCTGCCTGGAAAGCAACACTGAGGGGCATTAACTACTAACGTAATATTCACACTGTTAGAGATAACGTTAGCAAGCTAGGTAAAGAACGAGAACGGCTGACCATTCCCAAAGCCACCGCCCCATGAAAATCAGCATACACTTTCAGGATAGCCGTGCTCTTACAATAATTAGCTAGGAGGGTCCTCCGAAAAACAGTAAAGAGTGGTTCTCTAAGTAACAGCAAGGCAATAGTTAGGAAGCCAGGTAGCCAACCTCGTGTTGACAACTCTCTGTTGTACAGAGTACGTTTGCTAAATATTAATCTGATAATGATATTTCTTCAAAATGCTTGTCTGTTCAGACTGACTGCCAGTACGTATTTATGCTTGCTTGTGTTGACTTAAAGAACGGATTTCATTTAACTTACCTGTTGACAGTCAGTGGCGGCCGAGATATTTGTGTGCCCGTCCACAAACTTAAATTTCAAGACAAAACCATCAGCGGCCTGGACTTATCCTGACAACGTGCATAAGGCGCGTCTGCACTGTCAACAAATGCTCAAAAGAATGTCAGCGAGCGATCGATGACGTCACTAATTCCAAAACAGAGAGCATGCGAACGTGCCACAACATTCCGTAACATTCTAGAGGCTTCTTCTCCCGGACGTGACGTGGGGACAGCTGGAGAACCACAATAAAAGCTCTGTCCATTTCTAGCAAACAAAAAGTCACTTGCTGTTTGAAGATGTGAGGAATGAGCATGAACTTTTAGAGGAAGGTGTTAGCGTTGATGACACAAAAATATAGCAATAAATCAGTGAGGAACATATTTCATTCAAGAAAATGTGTTACCAGTTTTTATCCTTTAAAAAAAAAGAAGAAGAACTACAACAACAAAGAAGAAGAAGAAGGGCCATGCTTGTGAGAAAATGAAACGGGAAATAAAACAGAGCATTCTGGAAAGTTTATCTAGACTAAATTTGTGAACGTGGAATTTAAACTTTAAAAAAAGAACTGTCACTAATAAGGCGTTGATTTTAACTGATTTAAATTAACCAACAATAAACTGCCGAGTACACCCACGGTCGCAGGAGCTCAGAAATAAGGCTGTCGCAGTTAAAAAAATTACGAGGACAGGAAAGATCGAGCATGAGTGTTGAAAAGGTCAGCCCAGATCTGGGCTAATGGAAGGCTATATAACGTTTTATATGTGTTTGTTGACTTTTTTCTATTAGCATAAAAACTGCGCCGACACGCAACACGACTCCCGCCATGTGCGCTGTCCTGTGATCATGTTGGTTCATTGTTCTCATAATCATGTGGCGGCGGCGCTGCCTCCGGTTTTGGGGGAAATGAGCTTCAGAGGCGCGATAGAGCTGCGGCGGGGGTCTTTGTGTTCAGTTCGAGGGAATTCAGCATTTTTCAGGGGTCATAACGTGGGTGTGTTTAGTTTGTTGGGCTAACTGTCTATGATGAAGCGGAGGGAGCGGAGCCCTGTATGAGCCTTTTCTGCTGGTGTCAATATAGAGCATTTCTCGTAGCAGAATGACAGCCTCTCCTGGGAGGCTACAGTCTCACCAAGAGGCTACACTATTTGGTCATTATGACTGAAAGACAGAAATGTAATCTTGTGTCCAAATGCCTGGATAATGCGCGCGCACGCATAGGGTAGTTCGGCACAACACGGACCCAAAACGTCTTAAACTTGAGCGCGTCAGCAGATCTGGGGAGCACGAAGCCCCCGTCAAATGGTGGGAATTCAGTTTCTTCCCTATATAATTTCTTTCTTATATAGTTTGTACAGGTCAAATATACAAACGCTTATGCAAAAAGTACTATAGCCTGTCAATACACCAGATCCACAGGCCCGATTTCTGTGATTTCTGAGCTTCCATACCTGCGCTCTGCACGTTTATTTCCGCTTATGATGGGAAACTTTAAATTTGGATCATTAGAATACGACCTTTTATTTCATTGTTGTTTGTTTGTTATTTGATTTTATGATTAGTTTGTGAAATTGTAAAACGAAGCGATTTCGTGATTTTTCCACTGACAATAACAGAACCAGAAATGAAAATCGACCCATTTGCCGTTTTTCAATATATTTTTTTTAATTTTTAAAATGAAAATCAAATGAACCGTATGAAGGTACACGGACCGAGGTGTAACCCAGTGTCCTGGAAAAACTGCATGCCTCTAATTCAAAAATAATACTTAATCTAATACAAAACAGAAAACAATTAAACCACAAGAATGGCAGAGAAAATGTAAAATTTTTATTAAATAGAAGCATTAACCTGAGTTGGCCTGGGTTGCAACTAAAAACAGGAAAACAGAAAACAGGAAAAAACAGGAAAATCAAACCTTTTTATACTGCTGTGGAAGAATCTGTCTTAACATCACATGCAACTCTGACTACACTGAGTTCTATTATAACTGTAACAAGTTGTACCCTTTTCATATGCTTTGTTTATTCAGTTTGCCTTGGCTTTCTGTGACAAGCACCTTTGTTTTTCTGCCATGTCACACTTCATTAGCCATTTCAATTCTATTCAAAAATATACAGTTACATAAAAAAATAATCACTGGCCTTAAGCCTTTACATTTTATTATACCATTATCATCAAAACATGCTTTAATTGGCTATGCTCTTGATTACATCACATCAATTCACATATCCCACTTTTCCCTTTTCCCTTTCCCTTTTAATTGTGACTAAACAAGGAAGTGTTAAAATATATGCTTTGTAAATAAAGTTATGGTCAAAACTAGGTCTCTGTGTGAGTGTGTGTAGGCCAAGGCTCTTGGACAAGATGTCCTTATCATAGTTACAATTTATGTTCAACATGGGACTGAGCAGTGTTTCTCAGGCCTGGTTGAAACACAGTGATACAATTTGTAGTAGTCCAGGACAAAGCACAAGCACATACAGAGAGGCCTTGCACATACACACAGAGGTATGCATGCACAGAGAAAGAGAGAAACAACACAGCATATTGTTAACTATGGAATCAAATCAACCATTAATGTGGTTACAGCTAGAGTCTTTCTATGCATGTGCTTCTCAAGGCCACAACATTTGAATATGATTAGTTATGATTAAATAATTTATCACATTAGTAATCCTGAAAAATCTTTCACATTCTTAAAAAAATATTTCCCCCTGATCAGTCAGCAGTGGTGTGTTAATAAATCCCACCATACTAAAAAGGCAGTGCACACAATGGATTCTAACAAAGTCCTCTGCAAATGTGGCCGCTGCTGCTTGGTGTACACAACAACTGAAGACCTTACAAGACATTTTGTTATAAGTATTTTATTGTAAAGTTTTTTAATAGAATGAGATAGCATATTTTGCCAACACTTTTTTAGTCCAGTTATAGAACTGTGTAAGAGTGCTTTGTGTACATTCATGACAGTGAGCAATTTGCCAACCAGTTGCATTGCTTAGCAGCATTTTTTATGTAACATATTCTGCTTTTAAAGTAATTTTCTGTCTGCTAGACAAGTAGTAGCCGTTTAGCTTTATATCTCTTTTTCTTTTTTCTCCAAATATTTATTTTCATTTGCAGTAGCATAAGTGCGCAAAACACTGCAGCTAAAATAGTAGTAAACCCAAACATACAGTAACACAAAACACGTATGCCAGAGTGATTATAAAACAACAGATATACAACAAGAAAAAAGAACTATTTAAAAATACATACATGCATATGTACAAACATATAAGAAAAAGAAATAAAGACAAGTTAGCAAGGTCTTGACCATCATATGAAAATATTAATTTCCATACATCCAATGACAGTTTTGAAAACTAAAACACAAAAGGGTTAGTAAACTCACATTTATGTATGTGAAACTTAGCTAAAATAAGTTTTATCATATGTATCTGCTTTTCCATGTTTCTATTATATTTAAAGCAACCAAACAGAACATGGTCATGTAACACAATTATGCTAGAATTTATTTTCTCAATAATAAGCTTGATGACATCTTGCCCCAGCTTTGTGGTGTTCTGCCACTGGCTGTGCAGTTATCATTTTGTGGTTCTGCAAATAAGGCTCATGGGAAAGGCATACATATCCCCTATAGAAGGACTATGTGTGTGTTAATGTTGTTGTTCTTTAGTTTACGTATGTGTTATTGGAGTTACTTTATATCTGGGTACGTGGGTTGGTGAGTGTCCCCCCATGTGTTCCATGTAGATCTGTTCCATTTTGTACTTGTTCTCAATAAAGAGTTAAATGTTGAGAAAGAAAAAATTGTTTCACCGGACTGTTCTTTAAGCATCACCACACTGGAGTCAGAAGTGAGATACAAACCCCTACCTCCATGGGAGAGATCAAACGGGAAAGTGGAACCAAGAAAAGAGAAAGTGGCGGAGCAGCAGTAGCCATAGCAAAGAAAAAGGATAAAAGTTGATGATTTTGCGTGGACTACTGGTGGCTTAACGCTGTAACTAAGCCCAACTTGTATCTGTTCCCGTGCATTCATGATGCCTTGGACCAGGCTTCGCATGGTTCAGTTCGCTGGACTTGCAAAGTGGGTATTGGCAAGTGGCACTCACTCTTGATGCCAGAGAAAAGATGCCGTTCACGCTGGGCGCCAGGCTGAGGCATTTCATGGTAACAGCCTTCGGTGTCTGAAATGCACCAGCTATGTTTGAGTGGCTAATGGAGCGAGTACTCACTGATGTCCCCAGGGACCAGTGCATTGTCTATCTCATTGATGTGCTGGTCCACAAACCAGATTTTGGTATGGATATGGTGCTTGCAAATTTGGAGCTGGTTTTCCAGGCTATTAAATCTGCAAACCTCTGGCTGCACCCCAAGAAATGTAATCTCTTTCAATGGCATGAAGGTATGAAGTTAACTTTTTTAACAGGGTGTGTGTCTTAGAAGAGGGTGTTCACCTGCACTTTCTGTTGTAGGCAAAAGTTAGTACCTAGTACCTCGTATCCGGTACTTTTTACCATCTCCAAGGTCGAGGTTCCAAGCGAGCTGAGCTTATACCAAAAGGTGACATAAAAATTCTACAGACTGCTGACTGGTCAGAGTGAATCGCTAAACACATATGCTAACTTCAGCTACTAGGTTAATGTACCCTCTTGTGTTGCCTTTTTTTAAACAAGAATTGCCTTTTTGTCTGAACTATGATGTACTGTACTAACTCTCCTTTTTTGTCAGCAGTGTTTTGGCTTGCTGTCATCCTCTTCTGAACAAAATTTGTCTCCATTGGCACTTTCATTTTACATCGCTATGACGACCATCTACACTGAGAGGGTACTATATCTGCAGTGGAAAATGAAGTAGCTAGTATCAAAAGCATGTAATGATTGCGCATAGGGTAGATTGGATTGTCTAGGGAGGAGGGGCGGAACTCTTGTGCGGTGTGGCTGAGCAGAATGGATATTATAAAGTGGCGGAATTGTCAAACCGGCGGCGAGCAGCACAAGCGAACTGACTCTAATTGTGGCGTTTTGACGACTGAAAGAACTGCCAAGTAAGCGAACTGCTAACTGTCTTGATTGAAGAAGACTGTGACGAAGCGCTGCTGGAGCAACTCACTGCTGTATCGAACGAGTGGCCTGGGGTGATTGCCGGGCCACGTGAGAGGCCGTGCCGGGACTGCGGGGTTATTTTTGGACAACTAAAATGCCGGGTC